GCAGTGACCCTCATTCAATGACACACCAACTCGCAGGAGAAGGTGGCTGCTCAGTCATGGGAGACCCTGCTCAGAGTCTTACACGTCTTGGACCCTATCTGATCCTCTGCCTGTCAAAGACCTTTAATCGGGACCCTCGGACCCTGGTGCTGTAGGGAACAGAATGTGAGGATGCCTGTGGTGGCGAACACAGTGCCTGGCAAACACGATGTCCTCAACAAGTGACTATTAAAGCTTCTAAAACAATCGGGGAAAGCCTGACATTACCCACTTGGAGGAGTTTCCTTGGTAATCCCTGCAAGACCTGCCTGTAGGTGCCAGCTCAGCAAATAATTCTGTCTCCCTCCAACAGGGTCCCCCTCAGCTGACATAGGGCAGGAAACTCTCCATGGGGCCGTCCTGGGCACTGGGGGGCTCTGAGCGGCATCCCTGGACCTCATCCACTAGATGCCAGGAACCCCGTTGTGACAACCACAGATGTCCCCAGATTGGCCTCCTGCCCTTAGGGGGCAGGATCACCCTCAGTTGTATGTAAAGGCATCAAAGCCAAAGAAAACGCTTGGAATTTTCAGCTACTCTGTGACGTCCCGTTGACACATTGGAGTGGAACTCAAGCACCACACTGAGCTCAGACTGCTGGAACGTTTTGTCTCCAGATGATGTTCCCAAATCTTCTTCCCTAGAAAAATTCTCAGTAGCACATGTGGAAATGTAATTAGCAGCCTTTTTCCTCTGTGGTAATGACACAGATTTGGGTCTGTAATAAAGAGGAACAAGTCCCTTTAGACCTGAGGGCCAGACTGTTCAAGGTCCCCAGCTGGCACTGCTGACATCAGGACCTGGTCATTCCTTGTGGGGGACTCTCCTGGGCACTGTGGGGTGTTGAGCAGCATCCCTGGCCCCGCCCACCTGATACCAGGAGCACCCCCAATCGTGACAACTACAGATGTCCTCGGACATTGTCCTATCCCCTGGGAGACCCACAAATACAGAATTTCCAATGGCTGAAGGACTTAAGTACAAAATATGCAATTCGGAGACAATGCAGGTGAATTGTTTTTATGTCTTGAAATTGAAGGCCTCCCAGACACAAAGGAGGACACTTGTGTCTGGGAAACATTTACAGTCCCAGTTCCTAAGGCAGAACCACCAAGAGCCAAGTGGGGAGACACATCTGGAAAATAACAGCACATTTGACGGGCACCAGACAGCGTCCAAATGGAGAAATATAGCAAGTTCCCACGAATGTGTGCAAAGAGCTCATGCAAGTCCACGAGACAGAGAAACCCCCAACACAAAGGCGAGTAGAAAACACGGCCAGGCCACTCACAGCAGATGCTCCCGAGAGCAAATGCTGAACTCATGGATAACACAGGAGACCCACACACAGCAGCCACGCAAGCGCCCCAGTGGTCAGATTGGTAAAGACATGACAACTGCAGTTGGGATGGTAGGAAAAGGGGCCCTGGGAGTAAAACATGGTACATTTCTGGAGGCCCCTGTGGCTGAAAGTCAAAAATGTAAATGGAAATACCCTGATTTAAACACACACACACACACACACACCACAAACCTACTTATAGGAACTTATCCTATCTAATAATAGAGAAACATGGTAATTAACCATAACTTCGCTACCTTTCCCATTGGCTAATCAGCGAGATATGCAAATTAACTGCCAACCAAGATGGCGTCCAGCAGCCAGGCAGCTGAAGCAAACAGGAGGCTTGCTTGCTCCAGTGAAGGAGGAAGCCAAGGTTCCCCACCTGACGCTGCCGGCCTCTGAGCTGCACTCTAAGAAACAATGTTGCAATTATAGAAGCTAAACAAACCCCAGAAACCTGCTTTCAGCCATCAGCTGGAGCTGCAACAGTGTTTCAATTATAGAAGCCAAACAAAGCCCAGATACCTGCTTTCAGCAGCCGAGGTCTCAGAGCTGGAGCCAAGCCTCAGAGCTAAAGCCGGCTCTCAGCTCCAGTGACAGCCATAGAAGGTAAATAAATCCCAGAGTAAAAAGAAAAAAAGGAGAGGTTGAGAGCTTCAGTCACCCGCCAGCCTGAAAACGGCCCTCAGCCCCTCACCCAGACTGGCCAGGCACCCCAGTGGGGACCCCCACCCTGAAGGGGGTGCGACCAGCTGCAAACAGCCATCATCCCCTCATCCAGGCTGGCCAGGCACCCAAGCGGGACCCCCACCCTGATCTGGGACACTCTTCAGGGCAAACCAACTGGCCCCCACCCGTGCACCAGGCCTCTATCCTATATAGTAAAAGGGTAATATGCAAACTGACCCTAACAGCAGAAGGACTGGGAATGACTGGTCACTATGACACACACTGACCACCAGGGGGCAGATGCTCAATGCAGGAGCTGCCCTCTGGTGGTCAGGGTGCTCTCACATGGGAGGAGCTCTGTTCAGCCTCAAGCCAGGCTGATGGCTGCCAGTACAGCGGTGGCGGTGGGAGCCTTTCCTGCCTCCTCAGCAGCGCTAAGGATGTCCGACTGCAGTTTAGGCCTGCTCCCTGCTGGCAAGTGGACATCCCCCTAGGGCTGCCGGGCTGCCAGAGGGATGTCTGATTGCCATCTTAGGCCCAATCCCCCGGGGAGCAGGCCTAAGCCAGCAGGTGGTCATCCCCTGAGGGGTCTCAGACTGAGAGAGGGCTCAAGCCGGCTGAGGGACCCCTCTCACCCCCGAGTGCACAAATTTTTGTGCACCGGGCCTCTAGTCCCAAATAATAAGCAACCAAGGTTGTACAAAGTACACAAGGACATTCATCCCAGAGCACTGCACACAAGGAAAAGAAAATAAACACCCAGAGAAGCCAACCAAGAGGAAACCAGTCAAATCAATTATAAAATCATTTTAAAGAAATAAATTATAATTTCTCTATAAGGTGGACTGTTAAACCAACATCAGGAAAGATGGAAATCTAGCTTTACTGATGAGAAAAAATGCCCATCAAGAAAAATGAGCTCATTAGAGGAAAAAATAATCTACGTATCTAAAACCAGTGTGTGAATGTAATTCACAGAGACTCGGGGAGGACGCTCACCAGATGTCAACAACAGTCATCTCCGGCAGGGGTTTAGGCCCCCCCTTCCCTGTACAGGCCTGCATTTCCACTTTCTTTTTACAGGAAGTCAGTGTGACGTTGACACTTAAGAGATAGGATGAGGGAGGCTTGCTGGTCCACACGCTGCGAAGACCATACACCGGCCACAACCTTGCCCGACAACCTGCACGCAGTTCACCAAACTCCCCTCTGGTCGGCGACTTTGTGAGACAGGAGTTACATTTTACATCTGCTCTGGACCTCGGCTGAGCGTAAATAAGTCGGACAGACACCAGGCTCCAACTTCGGCTTTTGGTCTCTGGCCTCAGGATCAGCCTCTCTCTCTCTGGCTTAGCAAAAATATATATGTTTTAACATTATTGAAGTGCACGTTTCCTTCTACAAAATTCACTAGTTTGAAGTGCACACCTCAGAAGATTTTCTAGTGAGTTCATGGAGTTGTGTGACCGCTCCTGCCATGCAGTGTGGGACCCTTTCCTTCACCCCATTAGAGTCTGGCGCTCATTCACACTAACCCCTCCCACCCAGGCCCTGGCAACCACTACAGGTTTGCCTCCTCTAGACATTTCATCTAAATGGCACCATAATGTGTTGCCTTCTTTCCCAACATTTTTTTATACAAATACACACACTGAATGGGAGTAGCCAACATTATAAAGACATCAGATCTCCCTCAAGTTTATCGATAACGCAATCCTAATCAAAATGCCATCAGAATTTTTGTTAGTAACCAGAAATTGATTAAAGATTGCATGAAAGAGAAAACTCCATAAGAGTTGCAAAAACATTTATGAAAAAAGAAGGAGCAAGGAATGGGGCTGGAAACATACTAGAGAATTATAATAAATACAACAAGCAAGCAGTAGCCCAGAGCACATAGCAACCTCTAACTAATTTTTATGTTACATCCTCTTCCCACATTATACAAGCCACTCAAAATCCTCTGGGGAATGAGACCAGAGATAAACAAAGAAGCTAACAGAACAAGACCCAAGCCTTAGCTTTGCTCCTAACTTGTTAAAAACCTTCCTGGCCCTGGCTGGTGTTGCTCAGTGGGTAGAGTGTCAGCCGAAGCACCAGAGAGTCCTGGGTTTGATTCCTAGTCAAGGGTACATACCTGGGTTGTAGGTTCGATCCCCAGCCCCTGTTGGGGCACCTGCAGGAGGCAATGAATCAATATGTCTCTCTCACATGGATGTCTTTTGTCTCTCTCTCTCCCCCCCTCCCCCTTCCCTCCTACTCTCTATAAAAAATCAATGGGAAAAATATCCTTGGGTGAGAATTAACAACAAAAAAGGAACCTTCCTGAAGCCACTGTGGTGTTCCCAGTCTGCCAGGGTGGGTGACGTGTTTCAGATATTCATCACATCTGGTGACTTAGCACTGTTCCTGTCAATGGTTAAGCTAAGACCGCTGAAAGCTGGCCAGCACAGTTGCCCACTTTCTGCGTTGGTCCCATCCTGGGGTGCACTGGGACCAGTCTATGTTCCCCTACTACTTCATGGGTGACTGGAGCCCAAGAGCAGAAGACATTCCCTGTCACTCTCGTGTGCTCTTTTTTTTAAAAAAAAAAATTGTTTTTAAATTGAAGAGGGAGAGAGAGATAGAAACATCAATGATGAGAAAGAATCACTGATCAGTTGCCTCCTGCATGCCCTCTACTGGGGATTGAGCCCAAAACCTGGGCATGTGCCCTGACCAGGAATCCAACTATGACCTCCTGGTTCATAGATCAACACTCAACCACACCAGCGGGCTCCCATGCACTCTTGGCAGAAAGGAGAAGAGAAGAGTCAGGCACGCACAGTTGAGGACGCACACTCCAACGGTAAACCAACCTCCTAACTCTCATCCTGGCTCGGACTGGCCAACCCAGCAACTGCATGAAGTGTGAATGTGGAGAAAAGAAAAACATCATGACACCAACCTGTGTGCAAGGCCGAGCTGTCTTCAGCACCGAGGTCCCAGGAACCCAAAGTCCGCTCCCTGGAAGAAAACGTAAGACTTAGTTGATCATCGCGTGGCCAGAAACGTGGGTGTTACTGTGGGCATTGGCACCAAAGAGCCATGAGCTCATGATTAGACAGCGGTGAAAGTCATTCTGGGAGTCCTGCCTTTGGGTCACTCTGACAGGCACTGGGGACAGCACAAACAGGAGGCTTCCAGATGCAGAGAGGGTAGGTTTGGAAGCAATGAGAGCCCTGGCTGGTGTGGCTCAGTTGGTTGGAGTGTCATCCCCCTCACTGAAAGGTTGCCAGTTTGATCTCCAGTTGGGGTACATATGAAAGGCGGCCCATGGATGTTTCTCTCTCACATCGATGTTTCTCTCCCTTCCTTCCTTTCTCTCTAAAATCAATGGACATATCCTCAGGTGAGGATTTTTTTTTTTTTAAAGGGAGGCAATTAGAGATTGATAACATTATCCCTAATAAATTTCCAAAACGAAATTAAATGAGAGGACTGGATGTTTACATGACCTTTTAGAGTTTACAAATGACAGTCACCTGCATCATTTGAATGTCATGGTCCCCGGGGAGGAAGAAGGGGAGACTGAGTCAACCTCATGCCCCAGGGTACCCACAGGGTGACCATGTCACCCAGATCTGCCTAAGGAGTTGTGAGAACTAAATGCATTGTGGGGTCATAGATGGGGTCCTGGGGCAGAAAGAAGGGAACTAGTGAAATTTGAATAGAGAGTGAAGCTGAGTTCACATGGATGTACCTGTCTGTGTCCTGGTTGTCACAATGTCCCACGATTATGGAAGACGTGACCCCTGGAAAACTAGGTGGTGGGTAGACAGGAACTCGCTGTGCTATTGAAACTCTTCTGAAATCTTACACCACTCCAAAATAAGGAGTGTTAACAAAACAGCTAATGAAAAATTTTAAGTGCTGTTTCCTTCCTCTGGGTTCAGGCTGATTTGCTGTCAGTAAAAGGCCAGGATGGCGAACTGAAATCCCCACCATCACCCGCAGATGGCGCCACTGCTCCAGGAATGCCCTAAGCCCTTTGGGATCTTGAAACTGCTAGAATCTACCCAACAGGATCTGCTCTTCTAGGCTGCAATTTAGGACAAGCACTGATGGGGAACTGAGGCAAGAGGGGCGCCCGGGGACCTCCGACCAAGCAGCAGTGGCTGGAAGAGATGAGAGAGGAAAGGGCTGGAACAACATGCCCATGGACTTGGAGGCCAAGACTTGCCTCAGCCTTGCAGGAACTACTAGTATCTAGAGTATGTATACGGTCCTTCAACTTTTTATTTTTGAATCAGTTAAAAACTCACAAGAAATTGCAAAGTTAGCAAAGAGGAGTCCCAGTTCCCCAGATGGAAGCTCTTTACACAACTAAGGGACATTATCAAAACCAGGAAACAGTGACTAATAAACTGGGCACCATCTTTTAGACAGTCTTACTGAGATATCATTCACCCATTTGAAGTGCATGATTCAGTGGTTTTTAGTATATTCACAAAGTTGTGCAACCAACACCATAATTGAATTTAAGACATTTTCATCACCCTTAAAGGATACCTGTCCCCATCAGCAGTCACTCCCCAGCCCCTGGCAACCACTAACCTACTTCCTGAGGATGTGCCTGTCCTGGACTTTTCACATGAATGGAATCACACACTGTGTGGCCTTTGGTGTCTGGCTTCTCTCACTGACATTGTGTGTTCAAGGTCCATCCACATTATAGTGAGTGTCAGTGCCTCACTGCTTTTCATGGCTGAGTAATAAGTCTACTGTGTGGATGGACACATTATCCATCGTCCACTAATGGACATTTAGGCTGTTTCCACCTTTTGGCTGTTGTGAATCATCCTGCTGCAAACATCGATGTCTTATGAATCATTTTAAAATGGTTTCTCACTCTGCCTCCACATCTACCAACTGCAAATCTCCCTGTCTCCAGGTCCTGCGGACCCCGGCTGCTGGCTGCTGTCCTTGAGCCCTTGGTCTTGGACTTGAGCAGTAAGGTGACCTCCACCTCTGCTGCCCTAGACCACCCAGACCAGCTTGGGCCAGGACAGGGAGCAGCCAGGACAAACACATCCCTGATGCTCTGTCCCCAGGGCCAGGAGATGGCAGGCTGTGAGCTCTACCAGCTGGCACCGCTCTGTCCCCATGACCTTCACGGCTCGCTCACCCAGACCAACCGCTGGACTTTCACTTTCTCTTCAGAGTGAATCCCAATGCGCCCCGCCGTCCCCAAGGGTCAGCAGTGAAAAGAGGAAGTGGGGCCTCTCTGAGGGGCCTGCTGCAGAATCTGCAGAGCCAGTGAAAAAATGAAACCGTGGGACCCCTGGTTCAAAAATCAGTGCAAATTTCAAGACGGCAACAGCCGGGTGCTCAGGGGCCTGCAAACCCTCACAGACCCTGCTCTCAGGAACTGCCCACGAGCAGGGCAGACAGACCTCAGACACGAATAACGAACACTCTGGGTAGAAAATCCCAGGTGCTGGGAGGGAGAAATAGATCCTCAAGGGAACGGGCACCATTTCCCATGATGATCAGGAACGCCCTTGGGACGGAGCTTACTCTTGCTGTAGGCGGCACTTCCTACAACCGCTGAGCCCCACTGTCCACAGGCCTTTTTAAAACATCGAGGTGTAATTCACGTACTGTAAAAGTTACCCTTTTAAAGTGTCTGATTCCATGGCTTTTAGGATATTTACAGGAGGTGCAAGCCTCGAACAATATAATCCCAGGACACTGCCACTGCCCCCCGGAGAGACCCTGTGCCCATCAGCATCATATGGTTCAAAGTTGAGTCTCCCCAGGAGAGACAAGATCCCAAATGACAAGAATCCCATGTGTTTTGCTTGCATGGCATTCCAATAGCTTTCACCGAGCCTGCCCACAGGAGGGGCTCAGTAATTCCTCACCCGGACTGTGTGTCATCCAGTCGGTGCTAAGGGAACAGCCTGTGCTAAGGGAACAGCCTATGGAGCAGGAGAAGACCAGGCCGAGCCTAGACTTGGGTGTGGTGGGGCCCTTTCCTGTGGGAACCTGGCCTGAAATGGGACTGACACTGGGAACCCACTGCATTCCTATGGGCCGGGCACAGGGCGCGGTCAGCGCAGGCTTGGCTTCGAGCCAGTGGTAATGCTGGCTAGTCCTCAGCTGCAGACTTCAGCTGTGTCCTCTGTCACCTTGAGAAGGGAAGACAAAAACCACGATCTCAAACCAAGAGTACTTGAGGTTCTTCCGTCGTTAATTTCCTGATCATTAATTTCTGTTGTCCTTATCATTCAGAAAGGGTTCAATAGATTTGTCAGATTTGTCAGCGAGTGTGTCCAAGCAGTGGGTGGTGGGCAGGGACACAGGTGACTGGATCCTGAGTTCCCCAGCCTGAATGTCCGAAACTGCCAAAAACAGGGCCGTGAAACTGGTTTAGGGGGACCACTGAGAAAGCGACACAGGCCTGGAGGAATCAGGTTGCTCTGGACCCTTTAGAACCCATCACCAGTAAGAAAGCTGAGGAACCAGCCCCCACTGACCCAGGATGTCAAATCTAGGCAGGAAGCCAGCAAGTCACAACCTATTTCTCTAGATCAGAGTTACCAGAACTTTTTTTAAAAAAAAATTTTTTTATTGATTTCAGAGAGAAAGGGAGAGAGAAATAGAAACATCAATGATGACAGAGAATCACTGATCGACTGCCTCCTGCATGCCCCACACTGGGGATCGAGTGCACAACCCGGGCATGTGCCCTTCTGGTTTATAGGTCAACACTCAATCACTGAGCCATGCCAGCCAAGCGCTACCAGAACTTTTTCAAAGGGTTTGCGCAACCAACATCTTGTATGCAAATGTTGCCCTCCCTCCCTTTAGAATCCCTCTCCTCACTGCTTACATTTGGGCCATCCTGGACGCTGGGGGGTGCTGCAGCATTCCTGGCCCACACACTCAATGCCAGGGGCTCCCGAAGTCATTAGGGCCATAGATGTCCCCAAATGTTGCCCAGTGTACCCTTCCAGGAGAAGGGGGGAGGGGAAAAACACTGCACTACAGCTTCCTGAGCTGCTGTCTTATCTCGAAGGGTAAATCCCTTTTGGGGCAGGACCCTGTTATCAATCTCATGGCTGCGGAAGGGGTGGGGCAAAAGGGCACTCATGGAGAACTGGGGGGCATCGGGGCCTGTGGGCTGCCAACGTGGGATGGAACGGGCTTTAACCCTCCCTCCTGAAGCCAGGGGCCCCTGGGTAGATTCTGAGGCACACCTGAGACCCAGGTTTGATTACACGCTCACGGAGCAGCAGAAAAGGGACACACCGTCCCTGTCATTCCTGTCAGATAGTAATACCCATAAATTGTGTGCTCTCACCCTGGCCAGCGTGGCTCAGCTGGTTGAGCATCAAGAGGTTGCTGGTTCGATTCCCAGTCAGGGGTAAGGGCACATGCCAGGGTTGCAGGCTTGATCCCCAGTAGGGGGTGCGCAGGAAGGAGGCAGCCAATCAATGTTTTTCTCTCACACACTGATGTTTCTCTCCCTCACACTCTCTCCCTTCCTCTCTCTCTAAAATCAATTTAAAAACATATTTAAAAATTGTGTGTTCTCTACAGGGTGAGTTTGGTTCTTTGGGGCAGGGGGACAGACGAGGATATCACAGTGGTTCTGGCCCTCCAGGAGCCCCAGCGTGTAACAGACACACAGTGTGCTGGCGTTATGAGAATTTCCTACAGGGTGGCTGATAAACACTGGTTTCTTCTGAGGGAGAAAAACAGCATTCCACACTAACTGCATGGCAGGAGTCATTTGGGAAAGGCGATGGCCCACATGGCACTGTGGGTCAGGCAGACGTGTGCAAGTGCTGGCTGCGTGTTCATGTCCCGTGGCTCTGTTTTCTCCGCTGGGAAAGAGCAAAGACCATCTACTTGGGGGTTGAGAAAAAGACTGACATTTGAATACAAATGCAAATCTCACAGCAGACAGCAAGTGCTCTGTGAGAAGTCCTCCTGTAACCCAGAACAAAGGAGAGAGA